AAAAAACAAAAAAAAAAAAAAAACAGCACCTATAAAACTAACACTCTACAGGCTTATTTACATTTGCCTATTGTTCCTCTAATTATATAAATTCCTCAGCCATATTCTTTCGTCATCATTCTTCCTTCGATCCAGCCTTTCTCTCATTCGATGTATGCATTCTTCCTTCACTTGTTTGCATATAGGCTCTGTGGTCTTGGAACTTTGCTTTGCCATAGTGCTTCGTTCCTTCCCTTCCATATACCATATATCAGAGCAGACATGATAGCAAGTACAAAGTTTTTCCTTAATCTCCCTTTTACATTTCTAGCAGCTCTTTTCCAAGCGGGCCAACTTTGAAGGAGTTAGAAGCGAAGAAGTATCTTTTTCCTGATTCTGTGGTGCGAGTCACACTATCTTGATGAATGCAATAAACTGGTTGCAAATATCTCATGTCGTAGAGTTACAATCATAAATAGGGTAAAAAAACTATTTTTATACATATATAGTATTTTGAATTCCCTTCACATAAGAGAAATATATACAGGTTCAAATTCTAAGTATGACTTTTTTTTGTTGTTAATTTTTGGTTCCGCCACTGGTTCTATCATAATTATGGGTTCGTAGTTACTATTTTCAACCAATGCTTCCTCCACAAAAATGTTCCAAGTTAAATTGCTAAACAAGATAATGTGAAAATGATTCAACTTATATATGCTGACAACGTAAATAATTTTGTATACTCTTAGTGTACTTCATGTAGTAGCAGGCTACTAATCGGCCACTTCTTGTGGACAATTACATATAGTTTAGTGTAAAAGTTCTTTTATATTGACAATGTATATAAGTTAAGCTCGTGTTAAAATAATTATATTAGGATATAGCACGAAATATTGTATATATGTTACTGAAGTCCATATGCATCACAAGATATGACTAATATGGTTTCTGCATCTTGAACAACAATTTAATTAGATACTGAAAATGACTTCAGGAGTTCTTGAAGACTTATATTAGATAGTTCTGAAGTATCTCCAGTCATAAGAGAATACTAAACCTACTTAAACATACTAACGGAGGCCGTATAATTTACTGACTAATTATACAGGGATTATAATGCTGGAATTGTTTATGCTGTGCATAATAATATATACATTGTTATTCAAGAATTACTTTAAGATATTTTTTATCTTTATATACTCTTATCTATGTGTGCTTATACACGCATTCTTATTTCATATCTATTCGGACTATTTTATTAGTTAGTGGACTATTAATTCTCTACATTAAACATAAATGATGATTTTGATCCAATGCTGAAACTTGAAGGACTATTTAAGACCGTTTGCCATTTAATAGAGAAATCACAATCAGACATACGATTTATAAGTCGTATTAGTATAACGCAATTTATAATAGCTAATGCGAAATAGAAGTGGCATGCATTGAAATGCGATATATAAGTTGGATTCAGAAAATACAATTTGTAATGTGATGAGTTTAGGGTTCAGGGTAACTCAATTTATAAATCGTGTTCAGCTAATATGATGTAGAAGTTGCATTAGAAAACTGTAATTTTTAATGTAATGAGTTTAAGCTTTTTCTATTGATGGTGTAAAAAGTATTTCTACAATCACATCATTATAATATACTTATAGAGTAAATATTATTTCACAGATGAGTTTATGTTTTATGTATTGACGGATAAAAATAATTTCTATAATCATGTCTTTATTAAGGTACTTATAGAGGGGCATAGCTCTATCCTACTTGGACTGAATCTACAATTCTATTTATCCATCTGCTTCTCTTGTCGTGAAATATATTTTGTTTGATACTTCTTTGTGTGCACATTATCTACTATTAAGGGTTTTACACACTCCTTAATTAATTAAGAAAGCCACGCATTCAGTATTATTGATCATGGGAGTACTTGTTTAAATTACCCTTTATTATTTTACATAATTAACTCTTTACTAATTGAAACAATAAGGTAAATTTGGAAAGGAAATAAATGAACATCTTATTTATATCAAACGACAAAGGGTACGGCCCTTCCCAAATGGGATGCTTTGTGCACTGGGCTGCCTTCTTTTGCCCCTGTCGGCCAAAACGACCAATATAGGCGTCCAATATCTACAAAATTTTTGGTGTTATTTCTCGAGGGCAGGATGATGATATGGACCTCCTTGTGGTTTACTTGATCAGCAGAAATAGTAAACTATTCAATCGTCTATTTGCAGCACTGCTTAGCTACAAGTTCTTGTTCTATAGTAGAGGCTATCATTGACTTTGCTGAAATTCTACTCTTTTAGCAAATTTGGCAAATTGTTATCCTGTTTTTATGAACTGAAGCCAGAAAACTAGTTAGTACAACATTTATTTTTCATTGGTGCATGATTAACTTCATTATTACTTGGAGTATAATACTATTTTCTGCAAATGCATATGTGCTACTTGAGATTTGAAGTGTTGGCTTTTTCTGATATCTCAACTTTGTATTGGAATTTGAAATGTACACTTTTTCATGTACTTAGAAGTCTCTCTATCCACACATACTTTTTTCCTATTATTTTTTGAATATTATATTACTCCGTTCGTTTCAATTTATGCTACACTTTTTCCTTTTTAATTAGTCAAAAAAGAATAATATATTTCTATATTTAGTAACTATTTGACTTTAAAATGCTCTTTTTGCCCTCAATGAGATAATTTATAATCACATAAATATCTACGGATTATTTTAGACTACAAGTTCAAAATAATCTTTTTTCTTTTTTAAACTCCGTGTCAAGTTAAACACATTACATAAATTGGGAATGATTAGCTTTTAAAATACTACTCCCTTCGTTCCAATTTATGTGAACCTGTTTGACTGAGTACAGAGTTTAAGATAAAATGAAGACTTTTGAAATGTGTGGTTTTAAAAACTTCTCATTAAGGGTAGAATTGTAAGTTTAAGCAAAATTGTTTTCAAATTTAGAAATGGGTCATTCCTTTTGGAACGGACCAAAAAAAAAAATAGGTTGACATAAACTGGAACGGAGGTAGTAAGAGATTCTATTCAAAGGATCATGGACAGACGCGGATGTAGTGTACTACCTACGGGTTCAACTGAACCAATAACTTTCGACGCGGAGTAAAAAAATTTGTATGTAAAAATTCATTAAAATTGCAAAAATAGTAGATATGAACCCATAACTTTAAAAATATAATGTGTTTAATGTTAAAAATCTTAAAATTGAACCCATAAGATTTAAATCCTGGATCCGCCTCTGAATTCATGGAGGTGGTTCAACCTTAGTGGTGGATCTAACAATAGGTTCACAAGTTCGACATGGTCCAGAGCACTTCAGGTTCGAACCTTATATATGTGATGAAAAGCAAGTAGAGATAAACATACATTTGAAAACCAACTTTAGAGCCCACAGTGTCTAAATTTTGGATTTTCCACTGGCCAATATTTGGTGCAACTGAAGCAAATATTCCTGCAATGCATATGTTGGCTTTTCTTAAAATTAAAATTAACACTTTCATAGATAGAATACCAACATTCTACATGAACAAAATATCACTCTTTCCCTTTTACATGTGTTAAAAATGTTCTATTAGTAAGAATGACTGAGTGCATCAGTTAAATCCACATTCTCATGACTAATGTATAAATATGTAATGTCAACTCAATAACCAAGACGAGCTATGGGTTCCGTGGCAAGTTCAGAACCCATAAACTTAAAATCTTGACTCCGCCTTTGCTCATGACTGTATCCTATGGCTACGAGCGCGTTTCTTGAAAGCCATAGTTCTGCTATTGGCTTCTGATTCAATTATATAGCGCTCTCCCGACCATTGGTGTTGTTAGCTTGTTGATCATCCAAAACAATCTTCTTCCAAAACCAATGCTTTTCCCAAAGTTGCATCATCTCTTCAATCGGAACTCCTTTCGTTTCAGGCAAGAAGAGATAGATGAAGATTGTCATTACAACAATCCAACCAGAGAAAAATAGGAAAATACCAAACCTCATAACACATAAAAGTGAGAGGAAAGATTGTGCTATGGCAAATGTGAAGAATAAATTCACAGTTACTGTTATGCTTTGGCCTGCAGATCTTGTTTCCAAGGGGAAAATTTCACTTGGCACTGTCCAACCAAGTGGACCCCATGACCATCCAAAGGCAGCTACAAATAGGCAGATAAAAATCACTACTACAATGGAGTAACCTCTGGTAAG